AGAATGTGGTTGTATGATGTGACCGCTTGGTCACCAAGACTATTACCGAGCAAGAGACTCCATGCCCTTCTCATGACCTTGTACGTGGAGAAATCTCTCTGCAAGTAGCCATGACAAGAGCCTGATTCCTCATGACTGCTTTCCAGGTAGAATGAAGCAATCTTGCAGGAGGAGCCATTCTCCTGGGGATTCCCCAGACCAGAGCCTCATTCCACCCCACTGGGACGGATGTCTTGGACATGAACATTTCTCATTTCATTTTCTTATTTCATATGTTCCTAGAATGGCATAGGATACCATGATGATGCTGCAGCAACCCCCTTACTCAGCTTACGTACTAAAACAGGTTGAGGTCTCAATCGAGGCCTTTCTGGGACTTTGGGGAGATGCTTTTGCCTGGAGACGTGGAGGCAGTTTGAAAGAATGGCCGCTGCCTGTACACATCCCAGATTTGCAGGTTTTTGTATTATTTCAAAAACTGACAAAAATGTGTTTGACCAGGTGCAACACTGGAAACCGAAGACTTGTGTACACTACGGGGAAGCAAAACCTTTTCTCACGCCACTTTCAATTATCTGAAAAAACTGTAGTCTGTACCTAGCTCTGCTTAGGCCTCCCCCCCCTTTTTGCTCAGAGGGCACAAGATTAATTTCTGCTCATGGCACATCAAAGCATCCATTGGTCCTGGGGTGTGGAGAACGCTCTCTCACCTGGCACCACAAAATGTACCGTGACATCACGCCTCCAGTTAAGCTGCTGAGGCCGGCACAGGATGGGCTTTCCATACAGCAGGCTCCAGGCACTGGGCGGTGGCTGAGACTCAGTGGACGCCGTTGCCGGCCCTTCGGGGTTGACTTCGGTGCTGTCTTCTGACTTGCCCTGGTGCAGCAGGACATAGATGTACTCCGAGAGCCGCACAGTCCTCTGACCCCTCTCCATCAACTCCAGCTCCACCAGGTAGCGGTTTCCCCGGGCTGTGTCTCGCCGTTTCTCCACATTGACGATCCGCAAGAGGGTGTAGATGCTGTGGGTGAGAGAACGAGATGCTGATGGGGTCTTAGGTCTGACCGAATCCCCCTTTCCCCCCCCCGCCACTTCAGAAACCCCGCTACTTGTTTCCAAACTGGAGCAGGATCTTAAGAGACAACCTAGCGTAGACAGAAGGCCCCCAGCAGTGGTTGATGGTACTGACGAGAACCCTCTTGGGGAGGCCCTGGCCCAAAAAGCTGAATCCTCAACAGTATTCTTTGGATGCTACAATATACTATGGAAGCGGGACTTAATGCAGTCACCAGATCTCAGCTCCTACAAACATTCCCATGAGTGGAGAGGCCTTCTTCAGACCATCAGAGCTTTTATTGCCCCTCACCACCTATCCAACAGGGAAGGAACAAGGATCTTCTATTCATTCCAGGCAAGCCAGGACGACTTGATCAAAGGATACTTACGCTAAGGCTAGATAAAATGGGAACTTGGCCACTGCACTGGAACAGGAAGGCTTGTAAGCCTGATTTGCCAGAGCTGTTTTTGTGACAATTGCCCCAGGAGGGTCACCTGCTGCCCTGCCATGTTCTGGAATTAGTGACAGGCTGCAGCTGCTCAGGGAAGAATAATCTCAGTGGCATCTACTGAGTTACCCTTTGCCACCGCTTAGGGGAAAGGCTCCCAGCTATCCAGAAGTCAAGACAGGAAACCGGAAAGAGCTTTATGTGTGATCTCCTGAGGGGGAGAGTTGGTAAATGGACATCTCTCGCTCCTGCTCCTACCTAGTACGGTAGTCAACACCCCCCTTCCTACCCGCCATTCTTCTCATTGAGTTTCTCCATGTACTGGGCCACCACATCGACCACCTCACTCTCGCTCAGCTGCAGGTTTCCTGAGACATTGCACCGCAGGTCGTTCCAGTCGGAGCGCAACAGCTCGAAGTCCACGGGGCTGACACTGAACGTCCTTTGCCAGTTGATAGAGTCCTCTAGCCAGCTCTGCTGCAGCTCAGAGTTCTCATAGCTGTAGTCAGACAATTCCTCCTCCTCCACCTCCTCCTCCTGGGCCTTCTCTGGGCCCTCGGCCTCCTCCTGCTGAGACTCTGTCATCTCCGACATCCTCAGGAATGACGTCACCCTCACCCCTTCCGAAAGCACTGTCTCTGAGGAGTTGTAATCCAGGGTCACCCTTGCTGGGGTGGAAACGTCAAAGTTTTCTTTGCTGAACAGCCCTTCAGCAGGTACGCTCAACACACTAGGCTGAACGTTGTGCTTCATCTTGGTCTTGGAGATCTCTTGATCGTACAGCTGCTCCCATTTCCTGTTGGCCCTCTCTTTCTTCCTTTTGGAAGAATCGGTTTCCCTGGAAATGTTGCCCATGAGCCAAGGTGTCCTACGACCAGGGATACTGTGGAATTTGTTGGAGGGAGCAGGTCGACGTTGAGGGCTCCTGGAGTTCAACTGCACCTTCCTTGGAGGCTTGGGATAGAGGAAAACTCCGGGGAAAGTATCTTTTTGAGGTGGGGCTTTCTTTTTGCCAGGCTGCAGCCGGGTCACATACACTTTCTCTGGGGGTTTCTTGTTCTCCTTCGTGGGCTGTTTTTCCTCCTTGGGGCTCTGCTGTTTGGCCTTCCCAGAGAAGAAGGACACAGGGAGGTGAGGATGGAGGTTGAGGGAGCTGCCCGACTTTGGCTGTGGCAACATTCCCATCTCACCCGCCTTCTGTCCATTCTCCACATTCTCCTCGTTCTGTGCCCAGCTGAGAGACCGCCGACGGAGAACGCCTTGCTCTCCTAAGGCCGCTGCATTATCATAGGCATGGGAGCCCTTAGACGACGTCACGGGACTCAGGCTGGGCCCACTCTGTGTCCCTGTGGTGACTGGCTGTCCTATTAGGGCTCCCTCTTCATGAAACCTCTTCTGCTTCTGATGGAAGGCATAGTAGCCCACGCCACCCCCATACTCCTTTGTGGTCACGGGTCTCTCCTGTCTCTGGGGCTCAGGGAACATACGAGGATCCAGCGTAGTGGGGCTCCTGTCCTTGGTGTCAGGAAGTGGGTCAGTGGGCTCAGGGCTGTCAGCGCCTTCCTCCTCCTCTTCAAGGAAATCTGAGGAAACAACCATCAGCAAAGCACATGAAGTCTCTAAAGCGGCCTAAAGAACTCTGTGGGGAGGAATGTGGGCAAAGGAGAATATGGGCAGGTGTGTAGAGGCTGGTGCGGCTGAGAAGGAGAAGAGCTGGGGTTGCCGGAGCAGAAAGCAGGAGAAAGGGATACAGGGTGAGTACGGGACATTGGTAGGCAGAGCCTCAGCTTCCTACCACACCTGGGGGCGGCAGCTGTCATTGGCACTGCCGTGACTGCAAGCCAAGGTGCAGGTGGATGAACCAATTCAGGGTGATTTTGTGCTGAGAGATACAGGATAGCGGATAGCATATTTGAGTGGGATGGGGAAGACCCCCTGAAGCTTATGAGGTGACCTGAGACTAGTCACACAAGCTGATTTTCCCACAGGGTAGAGTCCTAAGCAGGGGTCATTTCCTACAGGAGCGCACAGGAGTGGAGCTCCGGCAGTAAAGAGCCCAGGGGGCGGGCAATGTTCCCTCTAAGCTGTGGAGTCTTGTGAGCAAAACTTCTACTTTGTGAGCTACTGGCATTAAAGTTGTGAGTGAGCCATTTGGCTACTGTATAAATTAGTTTGCTCTGGAGCCCTCCTTCCTGAGCTGAGACAAAAATGTGTGAGCGGGAGGCTAAAAAACTGTGAGCTAGCTCACACTAACTCAGCTGAGAGGGAACACTGGCGGGCACATGCAACAAGCCCCACCTCCTGCTCCCAGCAGCCCTCAGTCAGAGCAAGAAGCAGCCAGGTAAGCTGCAGAGCCTCCCGCACCCCACGCCCGCTGCGCACAAACAGTTCAC